CCCCCCTCCTTCTTTTCTCTGTGGTTGTGCCGCCGCTGTTGCGGCGTTGCCGTAGGTGGTATAGGGTGGCGCGGGCTTGGTGATCACCGCCCCGTGTTTGCTGCCGGGGTCGCTCAAGCGGACGCCGGCGTGCTCGGAGTTCGCGATACGGAGGTGACACTTGCTGACCTGCGAAGGCGGGGGGCGGGGGCACGGGCGGCGGCGGCGAAGGGGGGGAGAAGGGGGGGTGGTGTACTCATGTTTCGCATGCCGTAGCGGTTGACCACGCGTCCTCGAGAGGACGGAGCATTGTTCCCACAGGACCGATCACCGATGATGGCCAATCGTCCCCAAGGGGGGCGAGCGCAACAGAGGCGGCGAACAGCGGGCGGGTACGGGAGGGGGGGTGTTGTTCTTCTGCTGCTAGAAGACCCAAGAGAGAAGCTTATCAACAACAACGGCAGCAGAAACAACGTAGATGACTGGTGTGCAATTGCGCCATCCCCATCGGTTGGGCTCGAAAAAAATATCGGAGGTTTTCACCTGTTTCAATTCCTAGCACGCGACGAGGGAAAGCAGGAGGTCGCCAGCAGACAGAGGTCTGGGCCAAAAGCAACACCAACTGTTGTTGGGAGAGCACACAAAAAAAAAAAACAGACGGTAGTACAAACGTTCGCCGCTCACGCCGTCGCCGCCGAAAATCATCAGCGCAGCGCCAGCGCGTCCGAAACTCTCACCATCTCGTCCTTGACCACGATGTCGGCGAGGTGTTGGCTCCGCCCGATGACAAGGTTGTCCCCGCACCGCAGCTCGAACCGCCTGCCTTCGGCGAGCGCCTTGCTCTCCTTCACGACGAGCGCGTACGTGCTTCCGCCGCCGCCGCTACCGGCGACCGCCGTGTCTACCGCCGCCGCCGCTGTTTCCTCGAGGTGCGGTGGCCCAGCAGTCTCGTTCGGCCGTATTCTGCTGTTCTCCTCGCCTTGTCTAGCGGATGCTCGCGTACTGCGACCGCCTTGCCGCTGCTGGTGGTCGTGCCATGCGCTGAGGCTGCACGTGGGGAGGGGGGGTGGCTTGCTTAGATCTCAGGAGAGGAGGGCTAAGCGAATTGTTTGTTTTCGGCTTGCCGCTGTAGCGAACGTTGCCGAAGTACCAAAAATACGGCGGGCGGTGTCGCCGCTGCTGATTGGCGGGCTACTGCGGATGTGTACGTGTCGCAATGTTTGACCACACAACAGCAGTGGCTTTTGAGTGGTTCAGATGGCAAGCCTTCGGGTTGAGGGTTCAAACCTCTCCGGATTGAAGAAAAAACTCGCGATATAGAAGCGAAAAGCGCATAAAAAGTCAAGAACAGACAACAACGAAAGGGGGGGACGAAAGGGGTTGCTGAATGGAGCTCTTCTAGCGCGCATAAAATCGAAGAAAACAAACACCGCTCGAAGAAAACGGCGGAGAAAAGAAGACTCCTTCGTGTACCTTCCCTCCTGTTCGACCCCGGCTGGAGCGTCTAAGTTATACCGCCAAGACGTAAACTGGACCCCAGACTTTTAGGCATGACGATTACTGGCTCCTTCCTGCCCCACCCGTGGACACCGAGCTTCTGCCACAACAAAAGAAAAAAAAAACAGCACCCGATGCCCCACCTCACCTCGCATAGTGCTCCAACCAGACGTCGGCAGCGCCCCTGTCTTCGCCCTTCCCCCTCCCCTGGCCAAACTCATCTTCGGCACCCTCCTCGCCCCCGGCCTCGCTGCGAAACGGGTCCTGTCCGTCGGCGATCGACCACAGCACGAAAGCCTCCATCGCGGTCCCGGGGCAGGGGTTGGTCGCGTGCAGCCGCGCCCCCCGCCTCGCTCCGAGGCCGATCTCGGCCGCCGCCGTGCCGACGCCGACGCCCAGCCCTCGGCCGGGCCTGACCCCGAAACCCCTGCAGAGGCGGCGACGCCGCCGGCCCAGGCAGAAGACGGCGTTGGCGCGACGGACCTCCGGGGCCACTCCCGCCACTCCCTCGCCGATCGTGTTGTTTCTTTTAGCGCCGCTGCTGCTGCTGGTTGTTGTTGTTCTGTCTCCCACGATTTTCGCAGAGCCGCCGCCACCGCCGGCAGCGCGTGCCTTTTCCGCTTCCTGGGGGCTCCCGCTCTTTCCGTGTCTGCGTGGGAGCGCGGGGTCGGCGGGCGGGGCGACGCCTGCGGTGGTGGCGGTGGCGAAGAGGTCGCCGCTCTGTGGTTCCGGCTCGAAGGTCGGCCGGCGAAGAAAGTCCCGCACCAGGTCCGCGCACTCCGCCTGGCCGTTCGCCAGGGCTGCCTGGAGGGCCGTCTCTCCGTCGCGGTTGCGCAGGCGGGGGTCGGCGCCTCGCACGAGAAGCTCACACACCGAACCTGTGCTCGTTGGTAGGATTCCGTGGCGTGGCCGTCAGGGTACAGAAAAGAGGGCGGCTCGGATGGATATTGCGTCCCCCCAAAACAAAAACAAAACACACCCATTTATTTCATTTCGGCTTTATCCCCTTGTTTTGTCTGCCTAGTGGTAAGCGGATGTCTCCTTGATAGGCGATTGGCGAGTTGGGTTAGTTGCTTGGGTTTGTATTGATCGGCTTTGGAAACAAGATGCGGCGCGGTCAACTGAGAATATGTGACTCGTTTCTCCCCGCCGCCTGCGGCACGAGGGAGCAGCACTTCGTTTTCTCTCTCTCGTCCCATCCATTCCGGCCTGTCGAAACCGTTGGGTACGTGTTTGATGCACCAGCCGGGGGCCACACACAAGGAAAAACACCGGTCTCTCCCCCTGCGGTTCTTGCCCTCAAAACGTTAACGCTAGAACGGTTCAGCCGGCCCTCCGACCGTTGCTGTGCGCACTCACGAGGCTACCAACTGTACAGTACAACACTCGGCCACTTTCGCGTGACCAAGCTCATTTGAGACAGATGCATCCTGGTGCGCAGCACAGCATACGCGTAAAAGGTAGACCTCTACTCACATCTGCACAACAGAACCGAATGTCACAGCAGCAGTAGTCTGTTTCGACGGAGCTCAAGGCCTTTGCTTGGCGTCGTCCTTGGTGCCTACAGCAGTGCTGCGTGACCGTGTGCTCGAATCGCACAACCGTCGCACCTTCACTACCAAGGGCAGACCTCCACTACCAAGGGCAGAGGGTCCTGGTGCAAGGACGGGTGGTCGCACACACACTCGCCGCGAACCGGGATTGTACAACTGCTGTTTCCCGCCGGTTCTCCCAAATCTCCGCAGATCCGTGCAGACCACCGAGTGCCTCAAATACTCCTCCTCCAAGTTCAGAAAACACACAGCCACAACTGTCTGAACGACAGCAAATCTGTGGTATTTCACAAAAGCTTGATATCCTAGCAGCCGATATTTCACAAGCTTGCCACCCTCGACGCCAGTCAACCTCGACGCCCCCTTACAACACACAAAGAATTTCGTCTCTCTCTCACCACCAGACCCTTCGTGGCAGGCGTAGTGCAGCGCCGAGTTCCTCCCCTGGGTCTCGTTGCCGGCGTTGAGCCCCGCGCCCTGCGCACAGGCCGCCTCGGCGAGCACTGAGCAACACCCCGTCTGGTCCTGCCTCGCCGCCTCCATGAGGGGGGTCCGGCCGCGGATGGACGACCGGCCGTGCCAGAGCCACCTTTGAAGGAAACGAAGCGTTTTACGAAATTCGTTTGTTATAGAATAGCAGGTGGTAAAGTGAGCCACCTTTGAAGGAAGGAAGCGTGTTACGATATCCGCTTCTTGTATGTAGCAAGTGGTAAAAGGTGAGCCACCTTTCAAGGAAACGAAGCGTTTTACATCCGAAATCCGTTTGTTGTAGCACGTGTGGTAAAGTGAGCCAGCCACCTTTGAAGGACCGAAGCGTTTAACTAAATCTGTTTGTTGTATGTAGCAGGTGGTAAAGTGTGCGGACGGGGGTCTTGTCTGTTGGTAACCGTTGCTACATATGCTTTCTCGGAGTTTGGCAGGTGCGGGGTTTGCGGCAGCAGATAAAAAGAAATTACTCTCTGTGTCCGTCTGTACATCGATGTCATCCCGAACTGGCTATGTAGAACTGTTGCTCCGAGGGCTTACGGAAAGGGTGGTATTTGCTCACATAACAGAGCACCAGTTTTAGAGATCTTTGGGGCCGGTATCGTTGTAGTCTATCCAATCATCATCATCATCATCACCTCGCTACGTCCACCCCGTCCGCCTCGGCCTCCGCCAGGGTTTCCACCAATGTCTCCGCCGGGTCGTGCCGTCGATTCTTGTCGTCGCCCCCTCCCGCGAGAAGAGCGGTAACCTTGTGAACCAGGGCGGCTTCTAGCCGCGCGGTTGCGGCGGCCGGAGGGGGGGTACGGTCGACTGCGGTCCCCGGGGGGGGGGGCTCACCGCTGGAGAGTGTCTGCTGCGGGGGGGCGGGGTTATCAAGCAGGATGTTTTGCGGTCAAGCCAACGCGCGGGTGTCCTTGTCTATGTAAGGGGAGCACGGTTTGTTTTGAGCAGCGACCGGGGAGGGGCGGAGAAGCAGTGGTAGCTGATGGGCGTTCTGCTAGAGTTCGCCATTCCCATGTGATGCATTTGTACGTGAGTAGGAAGGTTGAACACTGCGCTACAGCTAGTTGTATCGTCCAATTCTTTCGTGGAAGTCATTTACACCTTTTGTTCTCTGGACGCATGAGCCGGGGGCCAACGCTACTGCAATTGAACTGATGTTGTAGAGGCAACAACAGCAGCAGTGCTGTAGTAGAACGAAGCGGCCGTACCAGAGAATGCGCAACAACTCACCTCCTCCTCCTCCTCCTCCTCGTCACCACCTTCTCCCCCGCCGTCCCCGTGTTCGCTTGCCGCCGCGTTACTGGCCGGGGCCAGGTGCTTCGCGCCCAGGAGCACGGCTTCAACCCACGAAACCTCGTCTCCGTAAGCAGCCGCAAGAGTTTTTCTGTTCTCCATCTCCGCCTCCCCTAGGAAGCCGTTGTTGATCTCGCCATCTTCCACGTCCTCCTCCTCCTCTGCATCCATTGTCGTCGTTCGGGAGAAAGAGCCAGTTTGAGTTTTGGTCTACAGGAGTAAACGCTCTTCCTGCTTTCACAATATGGATTGCACCGGCTGAGGACCCGAAAAAGTCCTATCCCTCTGCCCCGAGATCAGGCGATAGGTGGCAAATGGGGGACGAGTGTGTGTGGGAATGGCCGGGAATAGAGAGAGAGTGGGAGGCGTGAAGTGCGTGCATGGGTGTGGGAAACAAAAAATACACAGCACAACGAAGCAACGAAGCAACGAAGCCCTCTCCAAAGCTTTGGAAATGATATGACTGGGCCCCGCCCGTGACGGAGATTGCGTAGATCTACAACCCACTCCAAACATCATCTCTGTCATGTCTCTCTGGTCATTGTCATGATGCTTCTCCGACACCTCAGCGCGGGGACGTGCTCCCTAGCTGCTGCCGCTGCTGCTGCTGCAACAGAAGTAGTGGGCCTTACTGTCCAGCAGGGCCTTGCGTTCGTACCACACCCGTCAAGGCCGCCATTGTCACCACGAGGGAAACGGTACCAATTTTCGTCATCAACAACGAGGCCGCTCAGGTGTGGCAGTTCCGCTCCTAGCGATCGTGCGGAGGAGTGGAGAGAAGCAGTTCTGCCGTTCTTACCCCCTGATCATTGTCGAACAGCATCCCCGGCGGAGTCGCTGGGGAGAGGGGAGTGGTTTAAGCTGATCTGCGGCGCATCCTTTGAGGCGAGTTGAGGTTTGAGGTCAAAAAACGACCCCACGGGACTGTCAGATTGTCGACCTGGTTTGTGATCAAAGTTTCGCGTGCATGCATGCATGTTCGGTATCGGATATTGGGGCCAACTAGCAAGCAGAATGGCAACCAGTGGTAGCGTGCGGCAGCAACAAGATAGCTGCTTTCAATTACATATGTATGCGCCAGAGGGCGAACATGTGCCGACTTTTGCTCGCTTGATCTGCCGAACTGCCGGAAGGTCTGATATCGGTATCTCGACTATGTGCACAAAACGGGATATCCGCACCCCTTCGCGAAGCTCTGACAAGGCTATGCAACCCCGGTGTCGTTGCCCATGTCGTACGTACATATGGCGCACATGTGATGCTGTTAGTTGTGTGCTCCTGTTGTGATGCTACTATAGTTGATGTGGATCAGTTTCGCACCTCTTCGCTGAACAGGACCTTCCCGCCATCCGCGATCTGTCGCTCGTCTACACTCTGGCTGGCGCGGACTGCATCGACGTGGCGGCGGAGGAGGCTGTTATCGAGGCGGCTAGGTGAGGAATTGCTGTCCCCCGCTATGCGCTGCTCCCAAGAAATGATCACCGACAATTTCCTGTCAGATGAAGTTGGTGGGTGCTCATGCTTTGAAGTTATGGAGAACTGTGGTGTTTGGTCTAGAGCGCAGTCGATGGAGAGTTCGAGCTCTCTACTCTTGCGACGAGCAAGTTGTCCTCACGTAGAGCAACGACGATCAAAGTGGGGCACGTGTAGAATAACGTGGACAGTCGGACACGTCTGGTGGAACCAGAGACAGAGGTAGCGAAAGGAAGTGAGCAGAGAGGGGCGAGGGCGGACAGAGCCGTCGGCCATCAAGATCATGAACCGAAGTTCCTCCTCACTGATGACAATGACGTGGATGCGTCCAGTCGGAGGGATTCTCCGACTGACGTATGGACGTTACAGACAGACATGAAAGGAGGCGTGTTGGTTCAGGAGACACAGGTCCCGCAGAACCAGCAGTAATTTAGTGTTCGGGTGCTTGTGACAGTCTTGACCTTACACTAACTACAAACTTTTCAACACGATCGTTTTCTCAGCTATTTTTTGGCATCGAAGACCGCAACCGCCCCCTTGGAACGCCGGTCTTGTTTCTGGCAAGAAGACTCCTCCGCACGCTGAACTCGCTTTCTCCTCCATCCATTTTTTTTTTTGCTTTCGAATTTCTTGTACCACCGCCGGCAGGGATGGCGTTATCGCAGCGCTCGGCGTGGCCGAAGCCATCGGCAAGCCGATGAGGATGCCGTGGTTGATGATGAGCGTCAACGACGACGAGGAAGATCCACACTTCCGAAAGGCGGCTTTTGACCCAAACCTTTGCCCAGCCGGTGAGAAATGGTGTCAATGAGCCCGCCGATTGGCTAGACACTGATAACGTGTTCTGCTTGCTCTTTTTGTCCCGCATGGTTGAGGCGTTCTGAGGGGATACAATACTTCTTACTGTGCGAAACGGTCGCGATTTTTTGTGCTGATGGTGTTTCTGCTGTTGCGGCTAGAGGCTTGTGCTGCTGCTGCTGCTGCTGCTGCTGCTGCTGCTGCTGCTGCTGTGAGGCATGCATAACTCAGTATTACCTACAAATCTTTTGTGGTATCGGTAAGGTCCCTGTTGTGCCCCCTCGACGGGCTCTTCGTCTTCCCCAAACAACGAACACATCATCTCCCCGCACCACCCGCACCATCGCTACCCTCGTCCCGTGGGCGTGTTTTTTTTTGTTGTTTTTCTCCCATGCTCACCTCCGTGTTCTTGTGTGCTGTACGTAACTGTGACTTGCGCACTAAAGACGTATATTTGACGCATCTCACGCACGAAACGAGCAGACTGCCCTAGACCCTGCGAGACAGTCTGCCCCGCGGATGCGGTGGTGTTTCCAGACTCTGCCCCGCCCCCCGCGCATAGAGCTGCCATGGTGGGGGAACTCCTGAGGGCAAGCGCAGGGTACGTGTCTTTTGCCTGCCTACACATGCGTTTCCCCTTGCCCACTAGGAAACCATCGCCCCCTGCCGTCCACAGGGAGCGCGCAGAGGGTAGGCTTGTTGTGACGGGCGGCATGCTCACGAGTGTCCAACCTTGAGACGATAAGCCGAGCCCTTTTTTTTCCACGGGGTTAAAGAAAGCACGCTCAATGGTATATGTTGGTAGACGCGCCAACGCCGAAACCGTATCGGTTGGTCGTCTGATGTTTTTTCTGCGACGACCTTGCAATAATAATACAAGCGGAGGCGTGCTTGGCCCGAGATGCTACGGCTGCGGGAGGTGCATCAACGTGTGCCCCCCGGGCATCATAAGGGCGGAGAAGTACAAGAGGTCTCCGGGGGTGGTGCGGGAGTTGCTGGAGAAGGTCGACGGCGTGGAGATACACACCAAAGTGAGCGATTTTTTCAGTTTCCGCCTCAACAGGCGCGTTCTGCCTCCGTGATGTCACCCGTCTGTTGGTCTTAGGGTCATCGAGAAAAGACGATACTTCTATACGAAGATCTAGCCCTTTCAAGAGAGCGCGGATAGGATGTTATTCTTTGGGGACGTTTAGGCGAAGAGAAACTTCGCGCGGAGAGTGGGTCGGGCCTCGCCTCAAGGCAAAAGTTCCACGGGTGGTGTATCAGCCAACAAGCAGCCTTGATTGTGTACTTTTTGTCGTGAACAGCGGTAGCAGTGCTACATTCCGGCAATTCTACTTGGCGGCGTCGAAAGGCTCCTCGCTGCTTGCACCGTAGAGGTGTGTGGCAGACAGCTACGAGCACCCTTGCCTGGTGGCTCTTTGCTGATGATGACCGGTATTGCTTGCCGTCACATCGGGTGCCTATGGTGTTTCGTCCAATTCCTGCTCTCATGTGTCGTGTAACTTCCCCCGCCCCGCTGCACCCCACCGCCACCCCTTCTTAAAATACTCTTTGTCTTTCTTTTCTCTCTCTCCCTCTATCTCTCCCTCTCTCTCTCCTTCTCCCTCCCCCCCCCCCCTCGTATCTCTCTCCCTATCTCTCCCTCTCTCTTTCTCTCTCTCTCTCTCACACACACACTCACGCGCATGACAAGGGAAACTTGGCGAGCTTTCGGGAGCTGTGGGAGGAGTGCGTTGCGGCCGCCGCGTCCCGACCCCAGTTCAGGGTCGTCGCTGTCAGCTTCCCTGACCTCGGTGACGACACGGGGCTAGCGGTGGCGACCATGGGGGCCGTGATGGACAGCGGGCCGCGGAGGGAGAGGCGGGGGGGGGGCGGAGAGGGGTCGGAAGCGACATCGGCACGGAAAAGAGGAACAGAATTTGAGGTTGCTGGGGAACAGAAGATGGGGGGCCGAGCTCTCAACGTATGGCAGGTGCGTGTGTGTGTCGCACTTTCTGTATTTCCTGTTTGTTCTATGTAGGCGGTGTAAGTCTTTGTTTTTAGTTCGCATGTTGTACGCGCGCGTTGCTCAAAAAGTAACCACGGGACTATCCACCTACGTACCAGAAATTGATTCGGTTAGAGTTGCTGTACAGGTGTTCTTAACCTGTACAGGTGTTCTTAACCTGTACACGTGTTCTTAACCTGTACAGGCGTTCTTAACCTGTACAGGCGTTCTTAACCTGTACACGTGTTCTTAACCTGTACAGGTGTTCTTAACCTGTACACGTGTTCTTATCCTGTACAGGTGTTCTTAACCTGTACACGTGTTCTTAACCGGTACAGGTGTTCTTAACCTGTACACTTGTTCTTAACCTGTACAGGTGTTCTTAACCTGTACAGGTGTTCTTAACCTGTACACGTGTTCTTAACCGGTACAGGTGTTCTTAACCTGTACACAACGCCTTCGTCGCAAGAACAGACTGTTTGCAAACGTGGTCGTAGGAAAACGCACGCACAGAAAGGTACTCGAGATTCGATTCAGCACTCAGACGAGCCGATACAATAAACGTTAGATCTGATCGGTGAGAATATGCAGAGGGAAGGCTGCAAGCAGTGGCACTCCCTGACTCAACCACATAGATTTCTCCGGTGTGGGTCACTGCGGACCACGCTCAGACCGTTATACGTCGTCGAAACAAGTCGGCCCTCGTCTCGCGCCAAGCGCTGCACGAATACGTTTCCCCCAAGTGTCGGGAGACAGAGTGCTCAGAAACCGTTACGTAAATACAGCGGGGGTCTCCCTGTTTAGTGCCGGTATGTGCCCAGATAGTTTACCGGCACTACACCGGACCGGTACTGTTCAATGACAATGACAATGACTTGGAAATTCCAGTGTGTGCCCGCCGAAAGCACCGGCACTATACAGGGCACTGGCACTATTTCAACCGGCACTAAACAGGGACCCCCACGATAATAAACCTGTTTTGATGTATCTCCACACTACACGGTACCACATCTGGCTGTCCATTTTTGTCCCTTACAATCATTCCTTTGAACTCCGTCACCCGCTCTGCATTTGCTTTCTCCCCCCCCCCCCCCCCGGTTTTCCCCCCCACCTCGGTGTTTGCCATCGGGATTGGGTTTTCGTCGCTTGGCAACGACGTTGTAAAACAAGCCAATTCACTTCGTGAACTCGGCAACCAGGTTACCGTTTTTTTTTTTACCTCGGTTTTTTTTTGGCGGTAACCATAATGGTGGTCGAGTAGATCATGTTGTGCGGGGTCGAGAAACCTCACTCCGCGCAACGGGGGATGATCGCACCACGTTGTGTTAAAATGGTCAAGCTTCCTCGAGGCAGTTACACAGTGCTTACAACTGTCTCTGGAAGTGAAAGCACCAGAAAATAAATTAAGTCATACGTAGCTGTCATCCGTACGCAAGGAAGTAAGCACAAGATGCCGAACACCCTTAGCAGGATGCAGCTCACCCTTCATGCGACTCGCCAAATACCTCACGGCGCTTCGCGCTTGGTGATGTGAGAGCCTGGTCCGGTGAGAACCCGGCGTGCTCCGTCCCGGCTTTGTAGGGATGCGAGGTCAATGGTCAAACGACTACGGCATGCACGA